CTTGCTCATAAATTGGTTCGCTTTACATTCTTATCTTTCACTCTGACTCATTATTTGGAGAAGTTTAAATATATGCTGCAATATTTCCCAAGCTCCTTTAATCAAATACTTGCAGGTAGTATATATATTTCAGAGACAATCCTATTCTTAAAGAAAGTAATTGTCTATTAGAAGACTCTCTAATGTGCTGATCAATATACATACTATCTTTCATAGGCTATTGGTGATTTTTGTCTTAGACAAATGCACCTATATATGTTGGGGCTTATATGTCTGTTATTTTTTATTTTATAATGATAATTTATTTCTGTCAATAATATGATAAGAATAGTTTTTAAAATATGTAAAAATTTAAACAAATTAAATATCTAAAATTAGAGAGATGAAAAACCAATGATTGCCTATGCATGTCACTGTCAAATAATATATTAAGTATTCAGTTGTATTCCAAAGTATTTATATATTACAACAATCAAATAAGGTTAGTGAGTTAACATCCCCATTGACAGATGAAGAAATTTAAGCATGGAAGATTCCAGGCAACCTAATTAACAAAGGAATTTATTCCAGTATATTTGTATCTATTGTCTGCATCTACGATGGCAACGATGTAAGTCTTTTATGAATTTCTTTCAGAAAAGAAAAATAATAGGTATTAGTGCACAGGAACACATCCATGTTCAGGAATAATTTAGAGTCAGAGGAAATTTCCAGTTCAATCTTTTTATATCAATGGCCCCACTACTATTTCTCTTGAATGCTCCATTTTACCACACCATGCAATCCGTTTGCTTTTTTATGGTATCGATGTCAGTGAGAGAATTTGCAAATGAACTTTCCAGCTTCAGTGAGCAAGACTGAATTTTGAGAAAATCTTTTCCTTAGGATGAATTCTGGCAAGTAAGGGAGTGTTAGGGAGCGCTCGGACCCTTTCACGCTAATCCGCAGTGAAGTTAAACAGACTGTGAATGTTAAGTGCACAGGATAAAGGTGGAAAATGAAGGTGTGTATGTACTTTGGAGCTTTGTATTGACAAGCCCTCAGGTAACCAGCCTGCTGGGACAGCCAGTGACAAGCAACAAGTTAGCGTTGCAGGATCAATGCCCGGCGTGTGATCTGTAGCAGGTGTCGCTGCCTGTGTTCAAGGGACATCGATAAAGCATCGGAAACGAAATCACTGAACCTGGACGCCTCCCCCACGCCCCCAGGCCCTGCTCAGTGACGAAGCCAGCCACACGGGCAGGCTCCCGGACAACCCACTCTCAGCACCACCGAGAAAGTCCTTCAGTCAGGGGCGGGGAATTAGGGCCTGGCATCATTCTAGCCAATGCTCCTTACCTTCTGCCCACACGCCTTTGAGGTTTGGGGACCTCCCCTCTCTGCACCCCAAGCTGCTCTTCTTGGACAACGGCCTCTACCGGCTGCTTTTATGACCGTCAGGCCCCACTGACTCAAACCGTCAAAACGGTGAAGTAGCGCCCGGCACGCGCGGCGTCCTCGACCAGGCCGCTGTCCAGGGGACGATCCAGCAGCTGGCGCCCGCAGCTGCTCAGTCTCAGATCAATCAAAGTCCTCTCCCATCAATCAAAGGCTCCCCGATTTCTCCACATTTGTCACCAGAAGCAGTGAAACCCCCTCTCTCCCAGCTCCAGCCCCTATGAGCCTAGTCAGTGTGTCTGTTCGCACAACAGGAAAAACATCCTGGCTCCCCCACAGGGGCAGCAACAAGGACTCTGAACAGCAGAAGCCTCTGCTTTTATTGTCCCACCTGCAAAAAGGCAAATGCATGAATCTGGGGTGTTATGAATTGTATCTGGTAAATGCACCCCTCAGGGGATTTATGATTTTAGTTCTGGTGTCAAGGTGAACAATTAAATATTTTAAGCAAGGAGTTGATATAGTTAGACTTTTTGATGACTGCGATAATAAAACCAGGCATTTTAAATGGGATTCATTGAATATCAATAGCTCTGGCTAAGTGGGAAGTGTGAAATATACAATGGAGTTCTGCTAGGTATCACTTAGGATATGCAGACTATGAATAGGCAATGCTCATAAGACAGCAAGAATGCACACAGCTTTCCCTGTAAGCTTCACGTCAGGGTCCCAGTATTGAAGGACAAAAGAGCTCAGATTTTTGTGGATAGATGTCAGAATACCTTTATGATTCTTCATGTGGCAAATTGGGAACATCAGTTAAATGCCAGCCTTTAAGCAAATTCTTTAACTGCTTTTTTTTTCTCTATTTTATTCAAGATATTATGAATAATAGTTTCTACTATTATTTTATTATTTTATAAATAATCTGCCACCCCTACCCTGAAAATGCCTGGGGTATGGGGAGTAGAGTACCCCAGAGTGAGCTTACCATGAGCCAGTGATAAGAATGTGAGAGAAAGAAAAACCGAACAGGCGTGCTGATGAGTATTGGGAAATAAGAAATAGTGGTGATAAAGGGGAAGTTCCGTGCTGGGTAGGATTAGTGGAATTCCATGCTGATTAAAGGTAGGGTCAGTATTAAGAGATGTTGTATGTAAGTTCATGAGTTTGACATGATTCTTGAAAACTGGTATCATGTTTCAAGGCAGAAAGCAAGAGATTTCTTGAATGAGGAAAAAGAACTGAACAAGGCATGGGATGATTTAGAGCAACAATAAGCAACTTAGTCTGTGCGAGTGCAGGGCTTCCAAGGCGGGGGCGGGGCGGGGGAGTATGGACAGTAGAACGGATTTGGGTGGCACAAAATTCACTACAGATTCTGGAAAACATTTGAAGAAACCATATAATTCCCAAGTATGAAGCTTCTGTGCCAATGACTCGGAAGTGCATAGTTGAAAAGGAAGCTTTAGCAGCTGTGTGAAGAGTAGATACAGGTGAAGTCATTATCTGTGGAAGGAAACACTGCAGATGAAGGAAGAGGAATCCCTTCTGTTCAGGTATCGTTATATTTTAAATTATTACTGTTTCACTTATTTCTCTCTCTTGTCCTTACATATACATCGAGACAGGAAATTCCATACACTTTCACATTTTCTTCATTAATATTCCTCAAATTTTCAACCTATACAGAACACCTCTCTGTGCTCTGTCTTGTGCATTATTTCTATCTTTGACAATTCAATATAGATAACCTTTTGTTTAAGATCTTATCATTTTGATCTGCCTTCCAAAGTAGTATTAAAACATATTTTGAAAGAAGTGAGCCATAGGGATGAATCAATGAAGGGGTGGAGGATTGACACTTGTAAGTGGGAGGTGACAGAATATTGGAGTTCGAATATAGATAGAAGGAATAAGTAGTAAGTAATAAAAACAAAGACCCACATTAAGATTTTATTGGCTTCAGAATAGAAACTACAAAAAAGAGAATATCCATTTAAAATGTATCAAATTCTCTATATAGCCCTTTTTATTATTTACTCTAACAAACAATCTGCTATTATTTTTTGCCCAAAGGCCTTCACATCTTTGAGGTGTTATGTGCCAATGCAGCATTTCTTTCAGCATGGAAATGTTTGGGTAGTAACTCAGAATCAGAAGGAAGTGTGGGTCCACCTGTGTGTCCTCTCATTGGAAAACCACCAAGTGAGCAAGGAAAGAAGTTGTGTGACTGGCTTGCTCTTGTTTTTGTTTGTCTGCTCTTGGTTTTCACATGAAATAAGCAGCGTGTCACAACTTACTCCAACCAGGACAAGTCACTCTTGCCTTGCTGCTGGGTGGCATTGTATCACTAATTTTATACTTTTTATGAATGTGCCAAGGAATCATTATTTTTCCACTGGAACTCACTGAGTGTGAGTTTCAATGCCAACATTAACATTATAATAATAACTGTGATCAACGCAATGACAGTAAACTCAGAATAACAGCCTTAGAAAAGAAAAATACCTTACCACACACTCTTCTAAATATTGCACTCTCCTGATCTGTTAATCCTCTCCCCAGCGCAGGGATATCATTACAGTTCTTGTGATAACGATAAGGAAAATCCTATTTAGTGGAGGCTGAGTAATTTATTTAAATTTGCAGAGTTAACCAGGAATGGAGTCTGAATTGGAATTCGGGCATGCTGATCACTGGCTGGACTTACCTAGGGAGTGAACTAGTCCTTAGTTCTACAAATAAAACCCTTTTCTGACTTTTTCCTTTACTTCCAGCTATCTAGCTATTTGTTCACTGCATGGGTTAGAAGTAAGGAGATTTCAGAAAGAAAGCAAGAAAGAAGGGCAGGAAGGAGAGAGTGAGGGAGGCAGGAAGGAGAGGGAAAAGGTGAGCTCTGGCCCTACTCTCACGTTCCAGATTCATATCCCAGCCTTACAAGAACACCTGGTTCATATTTTTAACAAATACTTTATGAGTCAACAGCAGAGGTAAAATCTGCTGGTAGGTCTCTTTATAATTCCCATTAAGGCTATATCCTAAATGAACATCTGTTGTGCAATCTTGCGAAATTAGCATAGATATTGGAATTTTTCTCAATGAAATCATGTCCTTCTCATACTGATTTGAATGTTGCACCACTGGAAATTTTATCAGTATTTCTTGGAAGAAGCATGGTGGGAATTATCTTGTGCAGCTAGAAACTATGCTATCATGTCCATTACTCCAACAAACAGAATCACAGCATTTTGTCTTGGCGCTGAAACCTACTAAATGTTGGGGAATACAGATCGTGAAGATGAGGAAGGAAATACAGAAATATATATACTACTTTCCTTACAGCTGCAGAAAAGCAGATGCTATTCTACATAATCTAAACTTTCTTGCAAATACAATTTCTAATAAAAGAGCTATGTAGGACCCCTAGGCTCTGGAAACTGTGGAATGGTATTTAATCCCTGAGATCTGTGTCATTAATTCGAATGATTTATTTAATTATGTATTGTCTATAATAATATGTAGACTGACAGCTCTGCGTTCTCCGGTATATGCATGTTCTGGGCTTTCTTATTGAAGCATAGGAGTATTATTGTCATTTCCTTCTTTTCCGACATGCAGTGAGAGGACAGGTTTCTTGTTTAAACAAGGAGCTTGAGAGTGTTGACCTTTTTAAGTGAAACTATCAATAACATTAGATTAGGAATTCTAAATATTTACAAAATATCCAGTGATATAGTAGAAGAATTTCTTATCTAACATCACAGTAAAGCAATAAATTATTCTGGCTACATTTCTGAAAACTTGCGCATAATCTAAGTGGCAGGTCCTTCTCTTGAATAAAACACAGAACAAAAACATTGGGAGCAAGGGGTTGGTGTCCACAGTCCTTGATGAAGAGGCTTGTGTCGGCACGATTTTTGACGTTCAAAAGGCAAGCATATCTGGGCTTTGCACCTTTGTGAATGTGAGATCATGAAATGATTATTTCTGACAGGCTCTCCAGTGAGGGAAAGACAGCTTGACAGATACATAGAAATTTCACTATAGCATGAGCAAGTTCTGTGGAAAAAGTGGTGCCATTTTTGGTTTTGTGTTAAAAGGAGAGCTGTGGAAACTGGATTGCTATAATGAGCTCAATTATATTAAGCATTAAATATGCTGTTAAAATTAGTGTATGTTTGAAATCCTTTTTAGTATGGGTTTTATGATGTACAATTGTCCTCTATTTCATCACATATGTATAAAAACGTATTTTTTTATTGAGGTAACATTAGTTTACACTGTAAGTGGTTTAGGGATATAGGTTCACAGCTCGTGAAATCACATCTTTTAAAAAGAATGAAAATACAGAATCTCTGCCTGGGCTGCCTTTAGTTCTTTTCTATTTCTAGTGATAAACAGCCCACCTCACCTCATGCTGAAGAAATTATGAATCGTCCACATAGGATAGGTCATCGTAAAATCATGACTATGCACGTATTTTTTGTCGTTTCTGGAAAAGTGATCTTCACCTTGTACTAAATTTTGCCAGTGGTCCTGAAAAATTGCAAGTGACATAGGAAAATGTCTCTCATAATAAATATTTTTATTGAAAAGTGTGCTGTAAATATAAATCTAGCACTACTGTTTTCACACATGCCACCAATTACTGGCCCCTGTGTGTGTGTTTGTTACAAAAATGCAATTCTTGAATTTATTCTTCACTAAATAAGTCTTATCTAAATAAGGTTAAAAGAATTCTCCAAACCACACTATTTTCTTAGCAAACATATGCATCCAACAAACACAACCCCAGAAGACAATCAATTTTAGAAGCCACATCTTTTACAGAGAATGAAAGTTTGAATGTCTTTTCAGTTTATTACTTTTGGCTTTGGAAAGTTTAAGATAACAAACAAAGAATCACTCTTTCAAAGCTTTATTAATCCCAAAATTTCCATTATAATCACATCATTGTCAGTGACCCACTAGCCAGAAACTTTCTCTCCACACTGGCTGTTTAGAATTCCACAATTCTGCCAATAAGCATTAAATTGCATTGATGGTACATGTGAAACCCTATAAAATCATT